GGGAAGGTTGAATAGATTAGGTTTGTTTTCACTGAAACGCAGGAAGTTGAGGGGTGGCCTGAAAGAAGTTTATAAAATTGTGAATGGCATGGATCGAGTGGAAAGTATGAGGTTTTTTCCCAGGGTGGAGGGCTCAATCACTAGGGGACATAGGTTCAAGGTGCAAAGGGGGAAGTTTAAAAGCTTTGCCAGAGATGGTGGTGGAAGCAGACTCAATAGCAGCATTCAGGAAGCACATGCATGAATACAGGAATAGGAAAGGGATACGGATACGGATCCTGCAAGTGAAGTTTTAGTATGGAAGGGCAAAATGTGTCAGCACAGGCTTGGAGGGTTGAAGGGCCTGTTTCTGTGCTGCATTGTTCTTTATTCTAAGCAAGGAGCTTATGAGTGACAAATGGGAGGTGGTGGGGAACATAACAGAGAGAACTTTATTTTCACTCAGTCATGGGTTATGGGCATCGCTGGTTGGGTAAATATTTATTGCCTATCTTTAGTTGCCCTCGAGAAGGAGGTGATGAGCTGCCTTCTTAAACTACTACCCTCTATGTACTCTAGGCAGACACACAGTGCCCTTAGGGAATGAATTCCAGGTGAGGTTGTTGACTTGCTCACCTAGCTGGCTTGTTTTCGTTTAGACATTTCGTCACCATGCTAGGTAACATCTTCAGTGGGGCCTCTGATGAAGTCACAACCTCACCCACAACCCGAACTACAAATCTTTGCGGGAATTCCATGGTTTTGACCCAGTGACACTAAAGGAACAGCGATATATTTCCAAGTCAGGATGATTAGAGGCTTGGAGGGGAAATTGCAGGTGGTAGTGTTCCCAAATATCTGCTGCCCTTGTCCTTCCAGATGGAAGCAGTTGTGGGTTTGGAAGGTGCTGTCTGAGGGTCTTTGGTGAATTTCTGCAGTGCATCTTGTAGATAGTACACACTGCTGCTACTGAGCGTCAGTGCTGGAGGGAGTGGGATGTTTGTGGATGTGGTACCAATCAAGCAGGGGCTGCTTCGTCCTGGCTGGTGTCAAGCTTTTTGAGTGTTGTTGGGGCTGCACTCATCCAGGCAAGTGGGGAGTATTCCATCACACTCCTGACTTGAGCCTCATTGATGGTGGACAGGCTTTGAGGAGTCAAGGGACGAGGTAGGCGCTGCAGTATTCCCAACTTCTGACTGGCTCTTGCAGACGCTTTGTTTATGCAGTGAGTCCAGTTGATTTTCTGGTCAATGGTAACCCCCAGGATGTTGATTCAGTGCTGGTAATGACACTAAATGTCAAGGGCAATGGTGAGATTATCTCTCATTAGAAATGGTCATAGGCTGTCATTTGTGTGGCGTGAACTTACTTGTCTCTTGTCAATCCAACCTGGATATTGTCCAGGTCCTGGTGCATTTGAACATGAACCGCTTCAGTATCTGAGGTTTCACAAACGGTGCTGAACATTGTGCAATCATCAGTGAACATCCCCACTTATGGCCGTATGATGGAGGAAGGTCACTGATGAAGCAGCTGAAAACATTTGTGTGTTGGATCCTGCCTGGAGATGTCTTGGAGCTGAAATGACTGACTTCCAGAACCACAACCACCTTTTTCATGATTCCAATCACATTGCTGAGTAGACTCCAGTGTTCTGTTTTATTCATTCATGGGATGAGGCCATTGCTGGCTAGGTAAGCATTTATCACCCATCCACGTGAGTCTGAAGTCATGTGTAAGTCAGACCAGGTAATGATGGCAGTTTCCTTCCCGAAAGGACATTAGTGAACCAGATACTTTTTGCTTATTCTGCATTACTGGAAGGGTTTAATTCAACTGAGCATCTTGAGAGGTCACTTCAGATTGCAGCTTAAAAATAAACTAGATTTGAATGGAACTAGAGTCACATACTGGTTCAGATCAAAGACAGTGAACCATTGGGTCTTTTTGCACTTTTAGTGAATTCACCAATTTATTTTTATTTTTATTCTCAAATTGTCAATTAATATTTCAGCTCCTGTTTTCTGGAGTTCAAGTACAGATCGGTCACATAACCAGTACAAAGTAAAGGTCAAGTCGTCATAGTTCTACAAGACCACAGGGCTGCTCTCCTGTTAGAGAGAGCACGTTGGCGGTCTAACCTGAGGTCACCAAGCCTCAGGCGATGGGAAGAGGTTGAGAATGGCAGCACTTCATGGTAACCTCAGCCGGTGTGGGAATTGAACTCTCACTGTTGGCATCACACTGCACGAGAAACTGGCTGTCCAGCCAACTGAGCTAACCAACCCATAGTAACCAGTACAACACAGCAACCAAAAGTCAGACTCAATAAAAACAGGAGCATCATCACCCAATCTTGGCCTCTTGATCACCTCCAATGTGAATGTGACGTGGAACAGCATTGGCAGTTTGGTGAGGAATGTGGTTCTCAATCTCTTTCTAATTTTATTTGTATTCCACATTTAAGATTCAGCTACAAATTACTGTTTAATAAAGACAAAGCTGCAGTAAAGATAAAGGTGGGTGGGAGGTTGGTTAGCTTAGTTGGCTGTACAGCTGGTCTGTGATGCACCGTGACGCCAACAGCATAGTTTCAATTCCTGCACTGGCTGAAGTTACCATGAAGGACTCTCCTTCTCAACGTCTCCCCTTCCCAGAGGCATGATGACCCCTGGGTTAAACCACCACCAGTCATCTTTCTGGAGTGAAAATGGACTGAAGCAGAGTAGATAACATGGAAATAGCAAGTTAAATAAACATATTTTACTTGATTTCACTATGGAGGATGCAAAAACACTCCTGGTAATAGCTGTAACTTTGGTGAAATTACAATCATTAGAGAAACAATACTGAACAAACTGGCAGAGGTTGCTCTGTTTGTGACTAACAAGCTCCAGTATTCCTGATGGACTTCATCCTGGCAACATAAAACTGGTGGGTATTAGATGAGCTAGAGTTAATGTTCCAGAATTAGATTCTGCAAAGATTCTATCAGACTGGAAACTAGCAAATGTAATTTCTCTCTTCAAGTGAGGAAGGCAGGAAATAGGAACCTCCAGGCCAATCAACTTGATATCTGTTGTGGGGTAAGTGCTGCAATTGTTAGGGAGGTCATAGCTGGGCACTTGGAAAAACTCAAGGTAATCAGGAAGTGTCAGTAGGGCTTTGTCAAAGGGAAATTGTGTTTAACCAATTTATTACTGTGTCTTTTTGGAGGAGTAACATGTGCTGTCGATAAAAGGGAACCAGTAGATAAATTCCAGGATTTATTGAGGTTCCATATAAAAGCTTATTGTACAAAGTAGGAGCTCATGGTGTAGGAGGCAATGTATTATCATGAACAGAAGATTGACAGAAGTTAGAAGATTTCAGAAAATAACGTTTTGCATAAGAGGGTCCTTTTCTGATTGGCAGTTTGTGAAAAACGGAGTCTCTCAAAGGGACAGAGGCATAGTCTCAAAAAGTGTAGATATCACAAAGGTTGATAGTTTCCCATGTTGCGAAGAGGATAGGAGGAGGATTCAGGTGGGTATAGATTGAGTGATGAAACAAAAACATGAGACAGATGGAGTATAACATGGGAAAATGTGAAGTTGTTCATTTTGGCTAGAAGAATTTTTAAAAAAATCACAGTGGTACTTAAACAGAGAACGACTGCTGAATTCTGAGATGCAGATGGTTCTAGGTGCTATAATGCATGAGTCACAAAGTCAATACATAGATACAGCAAGTGGAGTATTGAGGTACTATCCTTTATTAGGAGAGATTGAAGATAAAAGTAAGGATGCTAAGATTCTGTTACCCAGTACATTCATGAGACCACATCTCATTCTGTGTACAGTTAAGGTCTCCTTATTTAAATGCTTTGGGGATAGTTCAGAGATTGATCAAATTGATACCTAGAATAAGAGAGAGGGTCGTCTAATGAAGAAAGGTTAGACAGGCTGGAGCTCACAGGAGTAAGGAGTAACATGATTTGAGTTATGCAAGATCCTAAAATTTTGACAAGGTTCGTGTGGAAAGGATGCTTTTCTCTCATTGGTCAGTCCAGAACAAGGGGGCACGGTTTCAAAACTAGAAGTTGTCGTTTTAGGGATTTTTTTTTTGCAGCAGGTTGCGACTTTGGAACTCTGTCTGAAAAGGCAAGGTCATTGAATATTTTTAAAACAGTGGTAACTGGATTCCTCTTGCACAACAGAAGCAAATATTATTGGGGGAGATGTGAATGTGGACTTCAAAGTCAGTCAGATCATTGATGATCATATTGTTGGTCAGAACAGACCAGAAGGGCCAAATGGCCTGTTGCTGCTCCCAATACCTACGTTTGTACATCATAGCCGTCATTTAACCAAATGGCAGCTCCGACTTCAGTTGCCTGGAATTTCCTCCTAAATTCTTTACTGCTCTCTCTTCCTTGGAGATGACGCTTAAAAGTAACTTATTTGATCAGGTTTGACCTAATCAAGTAACACAAATTTTATTTGATAATGGTCCCATGATGCTCCTTGAAATGTTTTATCTTGAAGATACTATGTAAATACAGGTTATTGCAACTTGAAACAAAGGGGATTGATACAGCTGGAGAAATTGAATGAGTTAAGCAGTTTCAGTTAGTTATCGATTTAATAAGTATAAGCAATTTCAGTTACTGTTTCAGTAAAATGTCAGAACTGAAAGATCACAGAAGTAAGATAAGGAGTTGGACACAATAAGATAAGGCAGGCCTTTGGTAATAACAATGTGCATTGTATGTACTGTGGGAACTGAGTAAAATAACACCAGGGCATCTAGTCAACATGTGTCGGCTGATCAGATTAAGACATAAGTGACCTGTTGTATATACAAACTGTAAACATTTGGGACTTAGAGTTTAGTCTGAGATTAATAATGCCGATTCTCCTTGCATTCACTCAATGATCAGAACTTGTACCAGATCTCCTGGTGGCTTGTTAAGCTGAACAACAAACAGCACAGTCTGTACACGTCATAGGATTTTACATACGATTTTGAACAACTACTCACCATTCCATGATCACAGGGTGAAGCAAAGTATTGTTCACATTAAACCTGGAACAACAGAGTTTATTTTAGTCAGGTTTCCTTTCAAATCTGCAATATATTGTCTCTTGGCTCCTTCAACCCTCTCATCTGCCATTTATTCTCATTTGCCTTTGCTTAATAGAGCAAAATAAGCACAATTAACTAGGTCAATACATGCAGAGAGAATAGCTCAGGAACTGCATCACATCTGTATAGGTGATAGTGAGCTAATTCATTGAATACTGACCAACTGAATAGTGTATGACCAAGTTAATAAAGGGGATTAACCAAATCCCAACACCCCTCCATGACAAACAATTGCCTCCGCAAACCTTCCGTACCACCGCCATCCCCTGCCCAATCTTCACAATCCTCCGATCACCCCCATAATTCTTCCAAACCATAACAACTGCCCCTTCTCAGCCCCACCAGCTCTTTGTTGGAGACAGGGTTTCCTCAAAATTAACAACCACCTTTGGTACAAATAAAACTCAAAGCAGGAGTACACATGGCTGATTGGTTGATGAATGGAAACACTGGGGAACCTGGGACTATTCATCTTTAAGTGGAGAAGGAAATCAGGAGGTTTAATAGAAGAGGTTGGAAGGATCTTGACAGGGTGTTAAAAAAGCTTCCAGTGCTAGAAGGGCATCAGGAGTCAAGTTTATGATTTTGGAAAAAAGCCAAGAGGAGGAAAACTGAATGTATATCTTTATGCTTTGAGAATAAGCTGCCTGAAAGGGGAGTGGAAGCAGATTGATTTGTGATTCTCAAAAGTAAATTGGATAAATACTTGAAGGGGAAAGCTTGGGGAGTGCGAGTAACCATAATTCTTTTAGGCAAATAAAATCAAATAGTTACAGCATGGAGATGAGGTCTTTCAATTGTGTTAATGCCCATTCTGTGAGTGTTACTCAATTCTTCCAGCTTGCCTGCACTTTCCCTGATTGCCCTGCAAACGTTGCCCCTTCTGTAAGCCACTTGGAATATTGTATTCAGATCTGGTCGCCTCATTATAGGAAAGATGTGGAAGCTTTAGAGAGGGTGCAGAGGAGATTTACCAGGATGCTGCCTGGACTGGAGGGCAGGTCTTATGAGGAAAGGTTGAGGAAGCTAGGGCTTTTCTTATTGGAGCGAAGAAGCATGACAGGTGACTTGATAGAGGTGTTCAGACGACAGGCGTAGATAGAGTGGAAAGCCAGAGACTTTTTCCCAGGGCGGAAATGACTATGAGGGGGCATAATTTTAAGGTGATTGGAGGAAAGTATAGGGGAGATGTCAGCGGTAGGTTCTTCACACAGAGAGTGTTGGGCGTGTGGAATGCGCTGCCAGCAGTGGTAGTGGAGTCAGATACTTTAGGGACATTTAAGCAACTCTTGGATAGGCACATGGAGGATAGTAAAATGTAGGGCATGCAGGGTAGATTGATCTTAGAGTAGGATAATAGGTCGGCACAACATTGTGGGCCGAAGGGCCTGTACTGTTCTAAGTTCTATGTAATTGACCCTGCTTCCGCCACACTCAGGCAATGCGCTCCAGACCTTAAACCACTCGCTGCATGAAAATCATTGGTCACTGTTGTTCCAGAGTTTCTTTCTACATAAGATTCAAAGAGGGGAGTTACAAATTGGTGTTGGGAATTGGGCAGGGTGGAATGATGCCGATGGGACACAAACAGAATGGCCAATCCTTTGAATATTTCGAAGAAATCAGGAAGCTCAACACCAGATTCATTGGATTGGACAATGAAGAGCAAGTTACCCACATGCTTCTCATCCTCCACCACCCGCCAAGTAGGGCATAGGGAACAAATATTGAGAATTTGACAGGGTGCAAAATGGTGCTGTTATATCTCCAATTATGGTGTCATGGAACATTTACATCGGGCAGTATGGTAGCTCAGAAGTTAGCACTGCTGCCTCACTACCCCAGGTACCCAGGTTCAATTCCAGCCTCAGGTGCTGTGCAAACTCCATCCAGACATTCTCCCCACGTCTGCAAGAGTTTTCACCGGCTGCTCCAGTTTGCTCCCAGAGTCCAAAGATGTGCAGGTTAGGTGGATTGGCCGTGGTTAATGCAGGGTTACAGGGACAGAGCGGGGGGCTGGGGCTGGGTCTGGGTGTGGGTGGAATTCTTTCAGAGGATCAGTGAGAACTTGATGGGCTGAATTGGCTCTTTCAAAACTGTAGCGATTCTATGATGATTTAATAATTATGATTGATTGATGTATAGGGAAGGTGACGGCGTAGAGATATTATCATACATGGATTAACAGAGGTATACACATTAATCCAGAGACCCAGGTAATGTTCTGGGGACCTGGTTTTTAATATCACCGAAGCATGGTACATAGTGGAATTTGAATTCAATAAAATCTGGAATTTCACGTTTATGAATCCATTGCCGATTGTTGTAAAAACCCATCTGGCTCACTAATGTTCTTCAGGGAAGGAAATCTGCCATCCTTACCTGGTCTGGTTTATTTGTGACACCAGACCCACAGCAATGTGGTTGACTCTTAACTGCCCTCTGGGCAATTAGGGATGAGTAATAAAAAACTGGCTCAGCCAGTGATGCCCTCATCCCATGAATGAATTTTTAAAAAATCTTCAACTAAGATCACATAATTAGTTAAACAACTACCTTACTTTACATTCTGCAAAATACAGAGCAGGGGTGAAGGTCCAGGACAGAACAGAGATCTGACTGTGGGATACATTCACTCAATCAAAAGACAAAAAGAAACAAGAGGGGACACGATAGGGCAACAAGCAGATGATTCTTAGGTGAATATTTATGTCATTTTGGTTTCTCTCCCTGTTAGATGAGTGCGTTAAACTTTTGTTTGGAATCTAATAGAGGTGAGGCAGGGCAGATCAGTTCCACTGAATGTACATTAAAACGCCTCACCGGAAATAGTGAGAGAAAATAAGTCCCCCATTCCAAAGTTAAAAATGTTAAAAAGTACTTGAAACTCCCAATGAACCGGATTTTCAGACCAAGATTGACAAAGCACAGACTAGGCTTCTGTACTTAGGTTACTACTAATTACACGTAATTAGGCTCTAGTTACAGCTACAATTATGAATCATCAGCATACAACTCCACTAATTACAATTGATATCCTTGTAAACTCGCCAGAGACAGACAAACAAAAAATACATAGGTGTTATAGAAGGAGAGAAAAGTGGAAAAGCTGTTCTCTGTTTACAGAATCTTGATTCTTATGCTCTATCTTGGGATGCTTTCACTGGTTTGTAGGAGGTACAGGGTGGCTGGTTCACTTATACAAGGTTTCTGACTTGTTACTTAAAAGTCACAGCTGACAGCAATTGCAGAAGGAAATAAACTGGTTTTCTTGGATTTTCTTGCGGCGCTGTGGAAGTGTCCCTATCCCTGGACCGAGAAGCGTGGGTTCAAGTCCCATCTGTCTGCTTTCTAGTTGAAGAGATTTTTAAAAAAAATCAGAGGATGAGGGCATCTCTGGCTAGGCCAGCATTTTAATGCCCACCCCTAACAGCTTAGAGGGCAATTAAGAGTCAATGACATTACTGTGGGTCTAGAGTCACATGTATGCCAGACCAGGCAAGGATGACAGATTTCCTTTCCTTAAGGACATTAGTGAAGCAGATGAGTTTTTCTGACAGACAATCTCTGAACAGGTTAATTAGAAAAATAGGTTAAGTTAAAAGTTTAAAAATTAAACTGGCCTTCTTCAAACTTATAGTGGCTGTCACTACACAGAACAGACAGCTCCTGAGCTGGTGAATGCCTGAAGGTTTCTCTGCATCTTACTTACAGCTTTAAGCTGTTCAGCTATCTGAAAACTAACCATATTTGTTAGCAAGCAAAAAGCCTTTGTCACTAACTAGTCACTTGTCCAGAGACCACTTGGTCATTGGGACCTCTACTAGCCGAGTGGGTCACACCCCAACAGGACTGGGACCATAAAACCAAAAGAACTGCAGATGCTGTAAATCAGGAACAAAAACAGAAGTTGCTGGAAAAGCTCAGCAGGTCTGGCAGCATCTTTGAAGAAAAAAAAAATCAGAGTTAACGTTTCAGGTCTGGTGACCCTTCCTCAGAACTGGGACCGTGATTGTGGCAGTTTTGTGTTACTGCCAGAGGAAGTTAAATTAGCTCAACAGGAAGATTCGAATTCGATTGTAGCAGGCGGTCAGGTTGGAGAGAAGCAAAGCTGGAACAGACGACAGAAAATAAATGGGAGAGGAGTTGTTCAGTGGGCACTGATACTTGAACTATGATGTCATAGCTATTGCTGGGAAACAGCTGAAAGGAAGACAGTTCAACATTCCTGGTAAAGGGAATGGGATCACACTCTTAATGAACACTATGCATCACGTCTCCACAAAATTCAGTGGAGAATATTACTCAGATCTTTGTCCATCTGATCCAATAGCAAATGCATAGATTAGGCAACTTCTCCTGTCATGTTGATTTCTCTTCATCTTTAGTAGCATCCAAGCTTACTGAAGAATTAAAACAAGGGAGCACACATTTTTAAAAGTGAAAAGTAGGAGGTTTAGAGGGAATTTCAGGAAGATTTGTTTTCACCCAGAGAGTAGTGGGGATCTGGAATGCTCTGCCTGACAGGATGGTTGAGGGGGGAAACCTCATCTTTTAAAAAGTACTTGAATAAGCACTTGAAGTGCCAAACCATTCATGGTTATGGGACTAGTGCAGGAAAGTGGGACTAGTGTAGGTAGTATATTTTTGGTGGTACAGATTCAATTGGCTGAACGGCCTCTTCTGTTCGGAGGGATTCTATGATATTTCCCAACAGGATTCAACAACCGTCACTTTCGCAGAGTTACTTGGAGCCCACGTTAACGAAGACCGGATTTTCTCTTTGTGAATGATTGCCGATTAGAGTATCTCTACATAAAAGTCATCAAATATCTTGCTGATGCAGTACTTGAGAGTCTCATAAGCACTAATAGCTATAGGAACTAGATGCAGACGTTTATGAAAGAGAGAGATAACAATTCTCCTACAGCTGTGAAACT